CTTGTCCTTTTCCTGTGCTGGCCATCGTAACGCAATAAATAAAGCCTTAGCGTAACGTGACCTGAGCCAGGCAGTAAATGATGGCACTGTCAGTTGTACGCGACTGTTGAAACAAACACAGACTGCAATCATCGCGCTGTACGGGGAGAAAGACATTTGGCAAATGAGATTCCATTTTCACATTGGTTTGTGCTGAGCATATAAATTTCCTGCGGGCCGGCCAGCGTTGGGGATGTGTAATTGATTGCCTGCATTATAATAAACAAGCCGTGACAGGTGATCATTCATCATATTCCGCTGAACGTTCCAGCACACCAGCAAACGGAGGAAGAGAGGGAACGCGCGAGCGAGGGGAGAGGAGAGGAGAGGACAGGAGAGGAGAGGAGGGGCCTGGGGGAGGGGTGGGGGTCGGAAAGACCGAGTCTTCCCGACAGACTGAAAGCCAGGGAAGGGGCGGGGGAGAGCATCCGCAGAGCGGGCTCGGGAAAGTGAAAGCAATTACTATAATTCTTTTGATTATCCAATTTGTTCTTTCTGGTCTTCGTTGTAGGACCCTGCCCCCACCCCACTCCAACATAGGAGGTCCCCCTCGGGGACTCGGGAAGACACACAGAATGCTCCTCCCAAGATTGAGGGGAGGAAGGGGAAAGGCGAGGTGGGGGAGGGGCCGCGTCTAGTTGTAACGGAGTAGATACATTCGGGGAAAACCTCGGGAGGAGGGGGTGTGTGTGCGCGCGCGAGCGGGTGCCGGACTCAGCTTCGCTGCTGCGCTGTGATGCCTCCAATCAGAGGGCGAGGAACCAGCCTCCTTAAATAAAAAATTTTAAAGGGTGTTTGAAAAACACGCACGCACACACAAGCGAAAAGTTCCTTTTATTAGAGAGAAGGACAGAATCCAAGTTGGCATGGGATCTGTTTCCAGAAGCCTGTCCTATGGTGCTCCCTCTCCCCCGCCTCGTCTCCCACCCCAGCCTCTCTCTGTGCCCTTGGCCGGGGGTTGGGGGTTGAACAGGAGCTGTTGGGAAGCAACCCCCTCTCCAGGCGCGTCAACGTGGACAGACACGAGGCGGAAGCACATTGGCCTATGAAGGACAGAAAGACAAATGAAGAACTCTGGAGCCGGGCATGCATTAAATAAGTACTTACATTATTGCAAAGGCCCAGGCCCTCAACTAGGGGGTGAGTGAAGAGCGGGGACAGAGGGGGGTGGAATGGTCTCCCCAGTTCTTACCCAGTCAATTTCCAGCCTTCCCGTCCCCGCCCATCAAATGCCCTCTCATTCCCACCCGGGTACCAAAAGCTTCGCGCAGGTGGGAGCCTCCAACCCCCGGGAGCTGGGAGTTGAAGGGGGCCTGGCCCGCGCTAACATCGGGGGCGGGGTCCGGATGGGGCGGGGCCGGGGGCGGGGCCTCTCTGAAGGGGGCGGGGCAAGTGCTGAAGAAGGAAGGTAACGTTTCGGGGGTCTTTGCTTCCTAGAGCCCTCTGCCTTTTTATCATAGCCTTAATAACTGTAATCTGTTACCTTTGAGGTTACTATAAAATCACCAATTTTGGAGAATCTCTTCAAGGGACCTGCCTCCTAAAACTGACCTCAGCCCCAGCAGCTTGGGCTGCTTCCCTGGGTGATCGGTGTTCTTTGAAAGATGAGCAGCTCATTTGGGTCTCCCAAGAATTCCAGGAGATACCTAGGGCAGGTGCTGTTGTCCCGATATGCTTATCCCTTCCCATCTCGGCATAGCAACCTCAAAATTAGGTAGGTCTTAGGGTCCTGATTTTATAGGGGAAAAGACTGAGGCACAAAGAAATGAAGTTACTTACTCCAGGTCCGGCAACAAAAAGAATAAAGAATCGAATCCAAGGGTCTTCCAGCATGCTTTCCAGCATCCCTATGAGGACGCATATTTTCTTCTTCCAAGCCTCATAAATATGTGCACAAATATATATGAGGGGGCAGAGTTCAGTCTATTTGGGATGGTTGTGTGTCCAAGCCCTCACCAACCCTCTTTTTTATCTGCTATGTATCCCTCAGCTCTGCCCACTTTTCTCCACCAGCACTGTGCCCCTTGGTCCAAGCCATCTCTTTCCTGGGCCACTGCTCCTAGCTCCTCACTGGACTCCCTCTTCACATTGTTGCCCACTCCCATCCCTTCCCCACCTGCAGCCAGGCTGGTCTGTGGGCTGTTGTCAGTGTGAAAACATTATTCAACCACTTCACCAGCTGGCTGGCCCTCCCTCCCTAGCTCCACATTATTATTATTATTATTATTATTATTATTATTATTATTATATACATGTAATGGAAAATTTATTTTTTAACCATTTTGAAGTAACTCAGTGAGATTAAATAGATTCACACTGTTGTATAACCCTCATAACTATCTAATCCAGAACTTCTTGACCATCACCCCAGTTGAAACCCCTTACCCATTAGGGGTCACTCCCCATTCTGCCTCTCCCCACCCCCCACCCTGCACCTCCTCCACACCCCAAGCAGCCACCAGTCTGCTTTCTGTCTCTATGGATTTACTTATTCTGGACACTTCATATAAATAGGACCCTACAATATATGGTCTTTTATGACTTTGTCCTTCCCTTAGCATCATGTTCTCAATGTTCATCCATGTGGTAGTGTGTGTGTCAGAACTTTCTTCTTTTTTGTGGTCAAATAATATTCCGCTGTATGGATCTATCATCATTTGTGAATCCATTGATGAACATTAGGCTTGTTTCCAACTTTTGGCTGTTATGAATACTGCCTCTCTGAAATGTGTGTATGAGTTTTCGTTTGGACATCTGCTTTCAATTTCAGAGGGTATATAGTCAGGAACGGAATTGCTGGCTCCTATGGTAATTCCGTGTTTCATCTGTTGAATCAATGCCAGACTGTTTTCCATTTTCCACGCAACTGCGCCATCTTACACATCCACTAGTGGAGTGCGAGAGTTCCAGGTTTTCTAATTCCTTGCCAACACTTGCTATTTTCCTATTTTTTTCCTCCTTCCTGCCATCCCAGTGGGTGTGCCTAGCTCCATCCTTCAGGTCTCTCCCCCTCACTGTTATCCTCTAGCCTGTCATATCCTCAAAGGTGCCACTCTCTCTCTCTCTCTTAGGAGGGGCCTTGGTATATGCGGTGACTTCCCCCTTTCCTCCTCTCCAAGGCTAGAGCAGACCTCCGTCTGAGGATGCATCTCACTCCCATAGCCTTGCGCTCATTATCCCCCATTCAGTAATTTTACATTTCCTTCTATGTGTACCAATTAATGTCCATCTTTTCAACTTGACCACAGCCTCCCTCCGACCCAGGCAGGGACAGCTCTGCTTTTGCCATCCAGGGCAACCCCAGCACTTAGCACCGTCCCTGGGAGATTCTAGGTTGCTCAATAAATATTTGGTGAATGGAAGGATGAACAAGGAATGAGACCCGAGTTTGGGTCCCATGTCCTTGTGAATTTCTCTTTTCTTTTTTTCACTGTCCAGTGGAGTTAGCAGGCCTCAGTAAGTCAGGAACTGGAAAACCTCCCTTGTCCATAAGGCATCTGGACACTGATGGGGCTCTGGCCACAGAAATAGTACTCAACTAACATCTCCCTTCAGAGCCATCATGATTCTGGCCCGGGATTCTGAGTCTTGCTTGGGAATGATGTCGGTCCTGCCCTGTAGTGCTGCTGAAGGTTTAGGAACTTGAAATGTATTTGTTTGGTATAAACATGACCTCAGCATGACAAGGTGATCCCTGCTTTTGCCAAGCCATTAATTTTTATGTAATAGCAACGACCACAACAAACTGCATTTCCCCCCCACATTCTGAGTTGTTCTTAAGGTCAGATCTGTGGGATCGTGCGAGACAAAAAACCTTATAAACCAGAATGTAGTGGTGAGTTCTCTGTGTTTATAGCTCCGCTCCTCTATGCAGCTCCAAAGAGCTGAAAATTGAGGATTAAAAATTCATGCACCTACTTTCTTTCCAAGAACTCCAAATGCTTCCAATGCTCTTTATCCTGTGAAGTCATTAGTGGTCAGACAACACCATGCCCATCTTGAAGACAGAGAAACAGAGGCCCAGAGACCTGAAGAGGCTTGCGAGGGTCCCCCTGATCAGGAGGCAGCAGGCTCAGGCAGAGAGCCCCCTCCCACCCATTTTTCTAGTCCACATCCTCTCCATTAGCTTGATTAGGACAATTGATTTATTCATTCTTAGTGGTTGGGGGGGGACCCAACATGCCATTTGTGTGATATAAATATCTCTGGAAAAAGCTAAAAAACATTGTGTCATACATATTTTCTTAATACCACAGTCAATCACATATGCCCAAGTGCATAGTTCCATCACCCGAGGAGGGGGTGGGGGGCAGTGGGGTGGAGGAGACTCAGGAGAGACTTAGCTCCGGAATCTTCAGTCCCAGCTAAAGATACCCTGCAGTTTTTTTTTTTTTCTTTAGCATATTGCCTTTAGAAAACCAATCCTCGAGGTCTCAGAAGCTTGGTGTTGGGCCAGAACATTAGTAGGCAGGAAAGCAAGGGTGCCAGGGTACCTGTTAAACTGGCCTATTTCCAAAGAAGAAGATGGGGATTGTCACTTTCTCACTCAGCGTGCTCCTTGGACTCACCAAAGGATCTGGATCTCAATGTGGTTCCTCTTCTTCCACCCCCACCCCCCATCATCAAAAGGCCTTTAATCCCAGTGATTCTATTGTTAGGAATTTAGCTCAAGGAAATAATTAAAGACATGTAAAATGGCTCGGTGACAGGATGGCCATCACAACAGGTAGACAATGGTGAAAGATCAGAAGCAACTCCCATAGTCAGCCATAGGCAATCAATAAGTAAGGTCTGTGGTTCATCCCCTAAAACCCTGCTCAGATTTAAAAAGAAAAAAGACTGAAAAGAAGTAAGCCCAGGTGTTCACAAGCCTTTGTCTTTGGATGTGGAATTATGGCTAATTTTTTCTTTCCTGTAATAAGTTCTTATTTTGGGGTGATCTATTCAAAATCAATTTAAATTTCATTGACTCTGCTTTTTTTTTGGCTTTCGGCTCGGGGCGGCAAAGGTGCAACTTTCTTCGGTCGTCCCGAATCCGGGTTCATCCGACACCAGCCACCTCCGCCATGCCGCCTAAGTTCGACCCCAACAAGATCAAAGTTGTGTACCTGAGGTGCACCGGTGGCGAAGTCGGTGCCACGTCTGCCCTGGCCCCAAAGATCGGCCCACTGGGTCTGTCTCCAGAAAAGGTTGGTGATGACATCGCCAAGGCAACCGGTGATTGGAAGGGCCTAAGGATTACAGTGAAACTGACCATTCAGAACAGACAGGCCCAGATTGAAGTGGTACCTTCTGCCTCTGCCCTGATTATCAAAGCCCTCAAGGAACCACCAAGAGACAGAAAGAAGCAGAAAAACATTAAGCACAGTGGAAATACCACTTTTGATGAGATTGTCAATATTGCCCGACAGATGCGACACCCATCTTTAGCCAGAGAACTCTCTGAAACCATTAAAGAAATCCTGGGGACTGCCCAGTCTGTGGGCTGCAATGTTGACGGCCGCCACCCTCATGACATCATAGATGACATCAACAGTGGTGCGGTGGAATGCCCAGCTAGTTAACTACAAAGGAAAACGTTTCAATAAAGGATCATTTGACAACCAAAAAAAATAAAAAATAAAAAAATAAATTTCATTGACTCTAATGGAGACTTTACGAAATCACTACGATTTAGAAGTCAGAAATGGAACAGGAAGGGCACATAAGTAAAGGCCTGGAGACAGATCAGGGTCAAGGAGGAAAGCAGCCTGCCTGGACTGGGGGATTCCAAGTGCTGAGTGCTGAGAAATACAGTGGATTTGTGGGTAGTGGACAGACTGTTTATCTTTTGAAAGCCAAGGAGAGGAAAGCATATGCATATGACAGGCAATTGGAGCTACTCTAGATTCTTGAACACAAAAAGACACTGGAAGTTCCAATCAGATGAAGAAGAGACGGTCCAAGAAGTGAGTATGCTGGGAGTGAATCTGGTGGTCTCCTAATTCGGTTATGGAAGGGTCTGATTTCACTGGATCTGGGACTAAACGGTTCTGGAGAATCACAGAACTCTAGATACAAAAGAAGTCTTGAGCTTGGTTTCATTTTACAGACAGGACAACAATAGCCCAAAAAGTTAGACAGATTGTTCCCAGACCCCTACAGAAAGATGGTGGCTGAGTTGGGACCGGCAGCCAGGGATCCTTATTCCTAGTGCCAGTCCCAGCCCACTTCGCTGCTGCCTGGGATCCCATTTCTGAGATGTTAACTGCATGTGCAACCTTCTAGGAAAACTGAAGGTCTTGGCTTACTTTCTGGAGTCCCACCTAAAATGCTGTCTTTTCATTCATCTGTTCATCCGGCAGCTGGTAGAACACAGACAAGGCCAGTGCTGGTGTGGGGGCCGAGAGGAGATGATGATGGCATCTAGTAGGTGCTCAATAAATTTGTGGAAGGGGATAAGGACAGGAGAGAAGGAGGGAAGAATAGTTCCTACCCTCAAATCACTCAAGATCTAATTCGGGGAACAGACACAACCTTGTATGGGGGTTGAAAGCCATGCTTGCATGCTCAGGCAAAATGTGTAACAGAACCAAACTCAAAAAAGTCGACTCCAGGGCGCCTGGGTGGCTCAGTCGGTTAAGCTACTGCCTTCGGCTCAGGTCATGATCCTGGAGTCCCGGGATCGAGTCCCGCATCGGGCTCCCTGCTCAGCGGGGAGTCTGCTTCTCCCTCTGACCCTCCTCCCTCTCGTGCTCTCTGTCTCTCATTCTCTCTCACAAATAAATAAATCAAATCTTTAAAAAAAAAAAAGTCGACTCCCAACTTCTTTTATACAAGTATTTAATTCAGCTGATATTTAGAGAGAGTTCCTGCAATGAGCCAGATCAGGAGATTAAAATTTCTGTTATTTCCCCCACGGGGGAAATGAACAGGGAACAGGAGGAGGGATCTGTGGAAGGAGAAAACCCAAGGAGCACCCAGAAAAGATTGATATTGTGAGTTTCTTTGGACAATCTTGACTTCTTTTTCAAACTCCAGCCACTTGGTTTGATGTTCCTTTTGCACTCTGGTTCTGGGGTCCACGGCTCTGGTCTGATGGGGGGAGGGCTAAGCATAAGCCACCACCAGACCCTCCCACCTGCCCCACCCTTCTCCATCGCCTGTATCCAGTTATTCAGGCTTCTCAGGCTATTTCAACCTCACGTTGCCAAGCGAACATAAATCAAGAGGCCACAGCTCCGGGGCTCTTTGAGAAACACAGAGGGACTCTGCAGAGCCTTTCCAAAGGGGCATATGGGGGAGGAAACGGAACAAGACATAAGGAGAAAGTTATATGTGGTTCCTTTAATCACCGGGTGGAAGAAGAGAGGAGAATGTTCAAACAGAGCCCCGAAAGGCTTGCCGAGAAGTCAGCTTTAAGCTGCTCTGTTCCAGCAACTGCTGTTGGCATCACTGGGGTTTGTCTTGGCCCAAACCTGTCCTGGGAAACAAGAGAAGCTCACGCTCTTGGAATTCACTCCCTTAACGATTCACTCAGCAACTCAGCTTTGGTGGACAAGAAAAAAAGAAAAGAAAAGCCATCAAGCCGGTGGTTAAATATGCACTGCCAAGTTCATCAGCTTGGGCTGGGCTGGGCGGTGGGGAGGAAGAGAGAAACTTTCCGTGGCTCCCACGGGGAGGTTCTCCCAGCTGTACACAGCCACGTCCTGGAGTGGGATCCCAAGTGGGATGCAGAAGCAGCAATCTGGAGAGGTCTGATTCAAATGCCGTCTGCTGTACTTCACGGAAAGGCATGAGAGAAGCAAGGAAGGGGCAAGGTTGTGCTCAGACAGCTCTTTTATTGAGTGCTTTCCATGCACAGGCACTGTACCCACACTTTCCATCCCTTATCTCATTGGGTCCTTTCAACGACCCCACCAGGGCACAATCTTCAGCCCCGTTGTGCAGCTGAGAGCTCTGAGTCCTGACCAGTTATGAATGAGCGGGGGCATCTGCATGTGAGTCTGGTCTCCAATGCCCCCCAGGGCTATGCTCGGGACCATTGTGCCCTCCTGCCTTTATTTCTGGCTTGATCAGTGTCAACACTGAACCCTCCCCAATAACATGGAAAACCCAGACAGTCCCGCACTCAGTTGGAAAGAGATAGGACAGCCACCACGGGGGGCATCCTTCCCAGCTGAGTTACTGCGGCCCTCGCACCAGCGCTGGGTGCTTATGGACAGCGGCACCCCATGGGGGAAATGCTCCTGGTTCATAAGGGTCCTAAGTCTGGCATGGTCAGCTCCTTGTAGGTGCATAGCTAGAATTCAGCGGTCCATGCGTCTAGCTGGGGGAAAAATACCATTTTTACCTTCAGTAACCTCTCATAGAAAGGCAGTATTTTCTTCCCTTGGGAACGCAGGTGACAAACCATGGTAGTGTCATCAGTTCCTGTGACTTCAGCCCTCACGCAGACACAGAGCCTTCCCTATCACTAACAGTTGTTGCAAAATATCGTTTGTGCTCCTCAAAACTTAGAAACTGCAGAAACAGATAGACCAGTGGCGAGATCTTGTTACTCCGGACATAATAAAGAAGCTCATATATTACTACTTCACACAGTTGGCTTTTCATGTTTTGATACCTGTATTACAGTATAATTGGTTTCCTTTGCAATCCTATGTGCTTTATTTTATGCACTGAAAAGCAGGGTTTTGAAAAGGGATCCATAGGCTTCACCAGACTGCCCAAGGAGTCCTGGGAAGCTGAAGTGAGGCTCCCGCTCTTAAAAAGTGTGCAGCCTAACAGGGAAAGAGACATATACACACATCGATATGTAAGATGCAATCTTAAGTGTAAAAGAAGGAATAAACTTTTTGAGGTCAAGGACTGCATTTTTTTTTACCCATATCCATAGCACCCAAAATAGTGCCTGATAATCTATAGTGATAGGTGATCAAGAAGTAATGCCAAAGGGGCGCCTGGGTGGCTCAGTTGGTTAAACGACTGCCTTCAGCTCAGGTCATGATCCCAGGGTCCTGGGATCGAGCCCCGCATCGGGCTCCCTGCTCGGCAGGAAGCTTGCTTCTCCCTCTCCCACTCCCCCTGCTTGTGTTCCCTCTCTTGCTATCTCTCTCTCTGTCAAATAGATAAATAAAATCTTAAAAAAAAAAAAAAAAGGAAGTAGTGCCATCTCGACCTACACCGCTAGCCACTTAGAAGCTGAGTGATCTCGGGCGAGTGACGATTGCCTTTCTGGGCCTCGATTTCCTCATCTGGAAAATGGGTTTAACAAAACCTTTTCCCAGACATTGTCGACACAATCAAATGAGATGGAAGGTGTGCGTGCACCTAGTGTAGTCCTGGGATACGTGCGTGGCAAAGGTCGGTTCAGTTTGGCAGCAGCCCTGTGGCCCCCAAACCTCTCTTCACGGGAAGATCAACCCTGAGAAACCTACCTTGTAGGCTCCACCCCTGGTTAGAGGTGAGTCACCCTGGGAGAGTCTACATCTGAAGAAATCAGAAGAGGGTCTGAGAAATCAGGGGAGGTGGGAATGTCTGCCCCTTTTGGTGTTTCTCTGAGTGCCCCGGTTGCCCCACATCACCTCCGTGGGGAAAACACCGCCTCGCCCTTCATTGTCCCCGGGCGGCAGGATAGAGTGGGTGGAGGAAGGACAGGGCGCTCAGGTCCCTCGGCTGCTTGCCTCCCCGACCCCCCCGCCCCCTGCATGCCTGGGGGTATGATCCGTGATTGGAGGGTGCCTGCCTTATCTTGCGAGCAATTGCTTCACCATTCTCTAGCTCCCACATTTGCCTGGAAGACGCCTGTGTCTGTGAGGGCTGGTAAGAACCTGGAACAGCCTTTGAAGGTATCCAGCCAACTGAATTTAATTAAACTGCAATTCCAGAAGCCAGCAGCATTTTCCTAAGAAAGCAATACAACTTCCAAAAGTCCCCTGCCACCCTTGTGTTGCCCATTGCCTATTCTTCAGGTTTTGTCACCAAACTGTCCATAGGGTGGTTTCCTTAGACAATGGATCCGATTGGCAAGACTTTTTTTTTTTTTTTTAAGCTAGCATCACTGTCTTAAGTTAGGAGCATCATGACCTGCCCCTTACACTGTATTTCTTCTTGCTTCCCAAAGCTGATGCGATAGGACCTTTATCTTTTTTCAACTTGGTTTCTCAGATGGCCCCAGAGGCCTCCATCTTGGCAAGTCTTGATCCCACCAACTCAAGATGAGGGCAGTGTCACACTCCACTCTGGAGCCAAATGATGATTGTATTACTGCAGTAAGTAGGGTAAAGTGGTGGCTAAGGAATACTCCTGCTTCCAAAAATACTTTTCAGTTATTCATTCTTCAGTAATTAAGTCCTTATTATAGGCCAGGGGCTGAGGATATAAAGACAACATGGCTGCCACCTTCGTAGAACTTTAGATGGTCAAAGGAGCCATAGATAATAAGTACGTAAGCAAATAAAGACATGAAGGCAGCTACAGATTGTTATAAGTTCTAAGAAGAAAGAAACAGATGGCTGGAGAATCATGAAGGGATATTCTTAGATAAAGTCAAAGAAGAGCTCTCTGAGAAAGTGACATTCAAGCTAAGACCTAAAGGATGAGACTGAGCCAGCCACGGGAAGAGCCAGGGCAAAAAGATTCCAAGGCAGGAGGAACGGCAAGTGCAAAGGCCCTGGGGTGGGAAAGCTTGGGAAGAGCTAGGACCTGACAGAAGATCAGGGTTGGTCGAGTGTAATGCATCAGGGAGCAAGTAGCAAAAGGTGAGGAGAGGGAGAAAGGCAAGACACAGGCCCTGCTGGAGCATGGAGACCATTGCAAAGAGTTTGGGTTTTACTCAAGAGGGCAAGGGAGGGAGCTGTAATTTACGTGGGAGGTGCTCCACATATGAATTTGTTGGATGAATAGGTGACTTAGAAATATTCTCCCATTTGGAAGCTTAGCCATCAAAGTCTTCAGCAATTACATCTCTGTCTAAATCCCCCCAGGACTCATTAGTTCTATCACTTGGTTGGCCCTTTTGCATATATGCCTATAAATGAGCTCTAAAGAAATGGTTTCGGAAGACCCAGGCTTGGGTTGGCCAAGGCAGCCGCATCACCCATCTCCAAAGGGAAACTACTCTCCTTGTGTTCTCTGTAAAGGACATTCTTTGAAGTACAACACAGAATTGGATGAGGTGGAGTCCCCTTGAGTTGTGCAGGAGGGGAGTCCTGGTCCCAGCTCTGACACTCATGAGCTGCAGGACCTGAAGCATGTTGCATGCTCTCTCTGGGTCTCTGGTTTGTGGTCTAAGGAAGTGGGCAATGCTGCACCTACCTTCCAGGGTTGTTGAGCCCTTTCAAACTAAGGAAGTGAAAGCACCGTATTTGAAGGTGGTAAAGAAGTGTCTCTGACCGGGGTCCTGGCGTGGGCTGCAGGGATCAGTGGACCCCGGAAATTGCATACAAAGTATGTATTGTGTGTGCATGTCTGCATACACAGGAAAGTGCATTGTTCAAAGGAGGGCATCCAAAAGTCTCTCCTGGGTTTCTCAGAGACCCGTGAACCACCAACGGTTAAAAACCATCCTCCGTGTGGTAGTTGGAACTGCTATTGGCCCTTGAAGTTGCTCCCTTGCTCTGAGAGCTGGTTAAACATCTGCTTAGTGGTGGTGTCTTATTTCCTCCCCTGAATCTGTAAGCCATTTGGTGGCTGTCTGCACTGACCCTTCCCTCCCCATCTTCCAGTCTTGCTGACCCCTGGCTTCCCACAGACACACCCAGCAGGGATCCAGCAGCCCTGGGCCAAGCCCTTCCCCACTGTGCACACCAGGAGGCCCCCAGGTTCCTGCTGCACCAATGGCCAGGACTGGGTGAAATGAGCTAAGTCAGGGTGTGCTATTCGTAGAACCTGCAATTGCCTTCCTCCTCCCAGGTAATGAGATGCCTTAGCCCAGATGTGCAGCTTCTGCAGGCTACCCCCAAGGATCCGGTAGCTAATGGTGGGGATTTCTGGCACCATCTTAGGCCTGTGAGGAAGATGTTGTTTGCGGGAAGAGGAGGGGAGAGTTTTTAATTTCCACCCACCTACCAAGGGTTGACCCTCGGGTGGTTTATCTATGTCTGCGTGACACACACATCCAGCATAGCACCCAGTCACTTAACAAAAGCAATAAATAAATAATGGTCATTTCCAGCCCATACACCCGCCATGCCCTCCGGAGATCTTAAGGCAGTATATTCACGTCTCATCTAGCCCATTCCTAACTAGTTCCCCCAACCTCTTCCTGACTAGTCAGGAACGTAATGATACCTTGTGTTGATGTTGCCTGTTCCTTCTCAAGGTCTCCAAACACTTGGCTGTAATTACCCCCTCATCCTCATTTCTGAGTTAGATTTAAAAGGCGGGGGGTGGTTCTACCCACCCCTACTCCCCCTGGCACAAGGACTCTTGGCCCCCACCCCCTTACCCATCCCTGAATTCGATCAGTCCTAAGACTCTTGAAATCTTTCTCATCTGGAGGCAAAGCAGGTCTTTCTAATGCTGCTAATGTCCCCAACAGCCCCTCAGTTCCTGGGTTTGGGGAAAATCCCCTTGCTTAGGAAGATTCCCACAGGGAGGAAGAGGTCTCTGGACCCTGCGCAGCCAGACCGTGAGAACTTGCTGCCACCCGGGGCCACAGTGAGTTCAAATGCAGCCCTTCCAACACCCCACCTTAAAAGAGAGTGCGTTAGGAGGCACCTGGGTGGCTCAGTTGGTTAAGCGACTGCCTTCGGCTCAGGTCCTGATCCTGGAGTCCCTGGATCGAGTCCCGCATCGGGCTCCCTGCTCGGCGGGGAGTCTGCTTCTCCCTCTGACCCTCTCCCCTCTCGTGCTCTCTCTCTCAAATAAATAAATAAATAAATCTAAAAAAAAAAAAAGAGAGTGCGTTAGGGATTCTGGGCGGGTTTGCATCTGCATGGCAGGCTTTGACTCATCGCCTTCCTTGGCTTCCAGAACAAAGCGCATCATGGTGAGTGGTTCCACAGTAGAAGGATGGCCTGGGGGAAAACCGAGAGGTTTGCTCCTGGCTCTAATTTGCTGAATAACCCAAGGAGAGAGTGAGTTGGGAGTTTCCAGGTCTCAGCTGCTTCGTCAATTAGATGGGTTTAACATTAGCCCCTCTAGGTGCCTCATTAGGAGGTTGGCAGCACAAAGCTAAATAACAGGTGTGAAAGTGCTTTGAAAAGCATCCATTTGAGATTCTGGGACAGAGGCAGCCTATTCTCTGAGGATCGCCTGCAGAATTTCAGAGCCAGAGGGTCACCTAGGTGTCATCGGCCTGTCATTTTTCAGAATGAGTGACTGCGGTAGGCGGAAAAATGCACCCCCCAACCAGATAACTCCATGAAATCTATGGAACCTGTGAATGGGGTCTTATTTGGGAAGAGAGTCTTTGTCACGGTGATTAAGTTAAGGATCTTGAGATGAGGAGATCATCCTGTATCACCCAAGTAGGCCTTAAGAGACCCCACCTGTCTTTATCAATTAGCCAGGCAGAGAGCAGACACATGCAGAAGAGAAGCCGTGTGGCCACAGAGGCAGATATCAGAGGGATGCAGCTACCAGAAGCTGGAAGAGTCAAGGGAGGATCCTCCCCTGGAAACTTCAGCGCAAGCATGGCCCTGCAAACACCTTGATTTCGGACGTATGGGCTCCTTAAAACATTTTGTTGTTTTAAGCCACCCAAGCTGGTGGAAATTTGTTACAACCACCCCCAAAAGCTAATACATGAGGGGTGCAAACTCCCACCCCATACGGATGGTACAGCCAGGCATCCCGGCTCTGCGTCCAGCGTGTAGCATGTCACATGCCGCCTCGTCTATTCGAGAGGTGAGGAAGGGGAGCCGTGTGCTACCCAGAGAGCCATCTCCAAAGCTGGAACTCACAACATATCCCAGAGACCCGGCCGGCCGCCTAGCAGTGTCCTCTACCAAAAGAGGACTAGGTCTTAGCTACGGAGTAGCTGTCTGGAGTTGCAGGACCGTTTCCTCCGGGCCACGAGGGGGTCCCCATGCTCTGGGCCTTCCAGCTTAATGCAGCGCAGGTGCCCATGGTGCAAGCCGCTGATCCTCAGTGCGTCCCAGGGACAATGGTTTGGTTCAGTTCCTTCCTGGAGCCTAGCAAGGAAGGCCGTCACCACTTGGGAGTCGACTCCAAATGGCCCATGAGAATAATCTCATGTTCCAGGAACTCCAAAGACTGATTTCTGATCCAGAGCAGATTTTCTCAGAGCTGTCAGAAAGGAGCACCTTCTGACTTCTGGTCCCCCAGTGAGCCAGTAGCCGATGAGAGAATGTCCTGCTGACGTTCTGGCATCTTCTGGTCCCACTTCCCAGTGTTGCATAGAGGAAGGGCAGGGGGAGCAGCTACACTTGGACCTGGCATGATCGGGGAGCACAGCAGGCTTTGGGGAGGCGTCAGTCTTACCTTCTAGGAGTCTGAGCTGAGCGCGGACACCTCACATAGTCGGGCCCACACTAGGGGCCTCCTTCCGCTGATGGGAGCACGGATTGGTGCTGGATTCTCTGCAGGCGTGCCTGCTCTGCGCCATCCTGGACACACACAGGAACATGAGGGGGTCTGTCTACCCCCCAGCGTTCTCAGCTTAGGCACGGCTGGCACCTGGGGCCAGCCGATTCTTTTTAGTTGGGCGTCTATCCTGTGCATTGTCGGCGTTCGGCAGCATCCTTGGCCAAGAGCACCCTCCACTCTGTGTGGCAAACCAGAGTGTCTCCAGACATTGCCCACAGGTGTCTGGAAGGGCAGAACCGCCCCCAGTTGGGCCCCGCTGGTCTACGTGCACCTGGTTTCCCTTCATCAGGTGATAGAAGCTCTCATGCACAGTCACCCCCCATGATACTTCTAAGTTCACTGTCCTTCACCACCGCTGCTGTGTCCCCTCTGTTGGATGGGAAGTAAAAGTAATCATAGCGATGACAATTTATTGCATGCTTATTTTAAACCAGTCGCCTCATCTAAGTGTTTGGCAGCAACTCTATAAAATGATTTCGTTATAATGTGTTATGAGTAATCAGGAGTAATGGGCGACAAGATGAGGAGCCCAAGGCAGAGAAAATCAGTGAACTGGGTCAAGGTCACACAGAGTCAGGATTCAAATGTAGGCAGCCTCACGCTTAAGCTCCGTTCAACACTGCGACTTCCGTAATACAGAATTTTTGGATATACTTTAGAATTCTTAAAGATTTAAGTTCTCATTTACACCCCTGGTCCTGAGAGGACAGGTAATATGATTATTAAAGTTGTGATATTGTGATCATCCCCATTTTTCAGATGGAGAACCTGAGGCTTGCCTAAGGCTGTGTGGTACCTGATTGGACCTCAAGGCCAAGAGAACGAGAGGAGAGCTTTGCTCCATGCGTCTCAGCTGTTGAACCTCAGCTAGGCCCCAGAAACTGCATGCCCGAGGAGCAAGGGAGGTGAGTGAGGATGGACAGGTCTGCCAGGCCACTCCTCCAGATGTTGAAAGTAGCCTCAGAGTTGCCTCTTACTTTCAGGGCACTGGAAGGGGGGTGTCAAAGGTCAAGGTCAGAGAAAGGTCAAAAGCCAAGACCGGGCTTCAAACCTCACCGTATGTGGCCCTGTTGAAAGTCCAGAGTCTGGAGCTGGCAGGTGACAAGGCAGGGCCAGGGCCAGGCGTCCGGGTAGGGAGGCTCCAGAGGGACCCGAGGGTGCCAACTCAAATGCCTGCAGGAGTCAGGCAACCAAGTTCATGAGCGAAGCAGCCTTCACTAATATGGGACGGCCTTCACACGCTTCCCAAAGCGTTTCTATAATTCTTGCCGCACCAAGGGCATTTTCATGGTGAAAGGGCTTCTGGCCCATGGCGACGTCAGGAAATTGGCTGCAGGTGCTATAGAAGGAGTGCGTTCCTATCCTCCTTCTTTAGCTTTCTCGACGAGGCCAGGGGGCCGAACATGAAAGCTTCTAGAGTCATTACATTTGGTTTTTGAGAGTTGAAGCGGGACAAGCCCCTTCCAGGGGGGCGGGGTGTACGCAGGAAGGAATACCCGGTCAACAGCATCGATTGCTGTTATACAGGGTTGACGATGTCAGGCCCGTGAAAGGACAAAAGTTCCCAGTGGTTCCAGAAACCAGAGATGGGATGGACTGTCTTGCATCGCTTAACCATTGATTCATTCTGTAAATATTCTTGCAGACCCACTATGTGCAGCCTTTAGGGGCTGCGGTGGGGAACAAGTCAAAAGTGGTCTCTGCCCCTCTGGCTCTTTCAGTCAACTGAGCGCCTACTATGTGCCGGGCACCTTACAAAAATGATGTCAAATAATCCTCACTACCCCCACTTGTTCGGGGCTTATGCTGGGCCAGAGATAGTCAAGTTCAAGCGTATTCTTTCAACTAATAGTAGCGGCAACGGGAATTGATGTCCTGCCGTGTGCCAAGCCCATGCTGGGTGCTTTGTGAGCATTATTGGAATTAACCCTTCAGCAGCCTTTCTAGGCTAACACTGTTAGTGCCCCTGTCATCCCAATAAGAAAACAGAGGCACAGAGAGGTTGTGATCTGCCACCCCACCAGTCTGTAAGTGGCAAAGAAGGGGTCTGAATTTGCCCAGATTCTAGAGCAGACGCTTTGAATTACTCTGCATGCTTATTAATTCTCAAAACATGCTTATAAACAGTCATCCTTGGGCCCATCTCGCAGGTCAGAAAGCTGAGGCTCTGACAGGTTATTTATTGTGGCTGCTACTCAGGGCTAGAACTAGGGGTGCAAAAGTAAAAGGGACACCCAAAAACGCAGTGATCAAGATAAACAGTGTTGAATGCAATATTGAGAAACTCAGAATGAATGCCAGAAAAATGTAGGGTGAACAAAATATCAAAATTTTGAAGGACAGGCTTCCAAGCTGCACTTGTGGGCTTCTCTTGCTGTACCCTAATCTGTTTTGTCTTTATTTAAATTTTGCCTGATTTGTTCCTCGTTGATTTTTTTGGCATGGCTTTTCAGTATAAAATACTGCATTAAAATATTACTTATCCTGATTTCTGAGATTTTGGGCTCCCCCTTAAATTTTATACCTTGGCAAGTGCCTCACTCCCTCACCCTGGGGGGGGAGGGAGAGATAAGGGGCTCTGCAGGGCTCACCTCTCAGAGCTCCCTTTTACTGAGCACTCACTGTGTCAGGCACTCTTCCCAGGCTTCGCCTGTGTCTGGGTTTTGTGCTCCCAGCAGTCCCAGGAGGCAAATGTTATCATCGCTCCTAGTTTACTGATGTGGATACTGCGGACCAGAGAGGTCAAGAGCTTTGTGTAAGGTTACACGGCGGAGGGGGGGCGTAACTTGAACCCAACTCAGCTTCCCTGACGGAGGGAGGGAGCTCCCGGTGCCGGGAACAGCCCAGGCACTGGCGGCCGGGAGGGGGGAGACAGTCGCCGGTCCAGGGAATTCCTGCAGGGCGTGGGAGGCGGGACTTGGTGACCTCCGTGTGCCCAACTCTGCCCGATCCCAGCTTTCTACGATCCCATTGTTTCCTAAGAAACGGCCCCCGTGACTCGGCCGGGGAGCCGAGCCCCGGGCCCGGAGCTGGGCCTGGGGAATCCGGGGCGGGGTCGCAGGGACACTGCGCGTCCGGGGCGGCGGGGCCCCGCTCCTCCCCGCGCGGAGCAGCCCTGGGAGGGAGAGGCGTTGCGTGGCAAGAAAGCTGTTGGTAATCAGCAGAATTGGGTTTTAATGGGGTTCGCACGGATAGGACAGAAATCAAATTAGGGCCTAATTAGCATGCACGAGGCAGCGAGCGCGGCGGCGGCGGCGAGGCGGGCCCGCTGGGACCGGGCAGCACAGCCACCGGGCGGGGGGACGCCGCGTCCGGCTTTCGGGGTGGGGGGCGGGCGCGCGGGGACCCCCTCCGACCGCGGCGCCCCTCCCCCGCCCCCGGGCCCGGGGGTGCGCATCTCCGGCGGGCCGCGGGGCGCCGGGCGGGGACCCCGGCGGCCAGCGACTCTCGGCGCCCGCCCCTGCGTGGGCCCCGCTCCTGGAAACCGCTCGGCGGCCGCGCAGCAGGCACGGCTTTTTTTGTTTTGCATTGATAGGAAAGAAAAAAGGGTGCAGGGGAGGGGCAAGGGGAAAGAAGGACAGGAGAGGGAAAAGTTATCAGCAAAAGGAACCAAGCACCCTGTGCGTAATAATTAATAGTAGTCATTTAATAGTGATATGGGGAGCCGACCAGGGCCAGGTCCTCTGCCAGCACGTCGCCCCGATTTACATGACTAACATGAAGTTACTCTTCTTGCTCTCCATTTTACACATGGAGGCATCGCGAGCACAGAGAGGGTTAGTCGTTGCTCCAGAGCTGCCCAGCGAGGACACCGTGGAGCTGACACTCCAGCCCAGGGCTGGCCGACTCCAGAGGTTATGCTTGTGTCTGTTTCTGCCACAAATAGTGCAAGTAGTTTTTTTCCTTCTTCTTCTCCTTTATTTTTAAAAAACACAAGATTCTTTTGAGAATGATGACGCCTCAGTTTAATTATAACAACGTGAAAAATTATGGCATTTCTCTCCAAGGCTTTCCTGTTCGGATTTTCACTCTCTCTGACGAGTTTTACATCTGCCATAGGTCCCTGGAGTGTTCTTGGAAGTCTTATGCGTCTGCAGGCCACGTAGGTCCTGTGCCAGGAGCACTCCTTGTGTTTGGGGGATAAAAACCCAGAGAAGCAAAGAGGGGTCAGTTCTGGGATGAGCAGAGCAGTGGTAGAAGTGAATAAACTGGTGGGATAGTGACTGCAGCTCTCTCTTCTCAGGGATCCCCTACGTAGTATGTCCACTCCTCAAAGTGGTCTTCAAGGGAGGGCTTTCTATCCCCATTTTTAAATGTAGAAACTGGCCCAGAGAGGTAGAGTGACTTCCCCAAGGCCACACAGCAAGTCCACAGTGGAACTGGTATTCAAACCCAGGTCTCTCTGACTCCAGATCTCACATTCTTTTTATGCAGCTATACTACACTCCAAGAATTAGCTGGGGGGTGCCCTTTTGGCAGTTGGCAGACAGGATGTCTTGCTTCCATCTGTGCCTTTGCTGTCTTTGGGGTCTGATCAGATTGAGGGAAACTTGGAGCACCTGGTACTGGCTATTCCAGGCCTGGGGTGGTGCCTTGATCTGCCTCCAAATGGGATCAAACATTTCTTGGTGGCAGCCGATTGAGAACATTCGAGGGCAGCACCTTCCAAAGCATATTACGTGAAACATGTCCAGAGTTGTTCGTGAAACAGCAGACTCTGTGATCAAATGATTTGGGGGAAATTTGGGGTTGAACAAAGTTAAACGTGCTTCTTTACAAAAGCAGGACTTTTCAGTTATTAATGTGCTCACATGTGAATCTCCAAAAGAGTGGTAGTGAGTAGCAGTTTCCAAATCATAGAACTCTTTTTCATAGAGCTCTGTGCAGGACTGGGGCTGCACAGATCCCACTCTGGGAAATGCGATCTAGTGTGTTCCAGAACTCACACCTTTAGAATTCTGGCCTGGAGTGGAGGTAGAGCTCATCCTCTGCATTGCTACCTACTGTCTCCTTTTGCGAGGAAGGACATTTTAAAGCCCTGCCTGCATGGAACAGTGTTCACAGTTGAACAAGGGAACCCCAATTGTGTGTTTCCCCAAAGCATCACCAACCACCCTCTGCAAGCAAAAATATTTATTGAGCCCTGCCCAGAGCTTTATAGGGGGTCTAAAGATGTACAAGTAAATGAAATTAACTAGAGGATGTAGGTAGTTCCCTGGCACTTAGCAAATGTGGAGTTAGTGTTGCGATTTCTCTATCAGTTCTGCTATTAGATCCAGCCCTACTGTCTTGGACCTCACGGTGTAGCTGAAGAAATACAATACGTGCACCCAACATGATAACTCACAGCTTGCTATGTCTGTGACAAAGGCCAATTGCAAATATTTTGGAAGCATCGCTATTCTATTCCCCAAGCACATTTAAAAATCTTTATTAGATTTTTAATTATAAAATTAATATAATGCCCATTGAAAAAAAAATGAACACATTAGAAAGTAGAAAATAAAAAGCAAAAAGTTCCTGTTCATATTCTGTACTCCACCACTCCTGACTCCCTAGAAGTAATCATTGTTAATGCAGACTTTTCTATGCATAAACAAACATGTAAATATGGAATTTTCCTTTTACAAAAAAATTGGGTCGTAAGACACACTACTTGTGACCTACTTCTTTTTCACTTAACTGTTCACTGTAGGCCTTTCCAATATGCAAAGATCAACCTCTCCCCACTTCCAGCTGCCCCCAGAATCCCACCCTGCAGGTGTAGGATAATTGGCTCACTGGTGAACCCCTGTAAGAGCCAGCTCATCCGTTGGATATTTACCATTTCCCAAACTCATATGTGCTGCGGGATTGGGAAAGATGGAAAAGCATTTAGGTGGAGGGAATAGCATATGCAAAGGTG